TACTTACAGTTTGTCGGAGACTGTGTGGCTGCAGAGAGGACAGCTTTCCAACAGGACAGACACTGTTCGTACTGTGGGCAAATACTGACTGAACTTAACCCACTGAGCTTTGTTTTTTCTTCTGCAGTCATCGCCTTTGACACTGAACCTACTGACACAGACACACATGAGTAAATTAGCTTCTTAATTCTGTGGATAAGCACCTCTGGTGTCAATATTCACTTAGACTATGTGTTGTTGTTGTTGTTGTTGTTGTCATGGTGCGCTTCTTCAGTCATCACCAACAGAATTTGCTAAAGAAAATAACTGCTCCCTCAGTCATGGGAGCAGATCTCTTTTTTAATTACTAATTTCCAACTCAACAGCTGCTGACTATACGCAGCTAGTGTTTCTAAGATGTAAAAACATTCAGGATATTGGAAAAGCATATAAAACATCTCGGTTTTTGAGAGACTTGCAGCACATGACGCTATCTACAGGCAAATAAACCTCCATTCAGAGTGAAATTAGCAGCACATGTTCCTACTGCTCCGAATTAGAGCTGGAATTTACCTCTGCTGAACACTGTGGAGCTGAATTCATGATCACACGGCGACAGTCGGTTCAACACAGAAGGATTAAAGTCGCCCCGGTATACCATCTACAACTTGTGCATCAGTTCGTCCTTATACGTGCATTTGTTTTTGGAAACTTTGTGATCTGGACGAGAATTTAAATGAAACAAAGTGAGAATGAAAGTTTGGTGAATGAGCAGAAACGGTCCACAAAGAAACACTGCAGTACAATAAGATGAAAGATTTTTAATCAGTAAAAACCGGTGCAATATTTCACATGTAAACAATTGCAGCATCTCATTCTTAATACCTGAAGAGTTACATAGAAATATTTTAGTGACTCGACGATTCCTGTAAAAATAGATCAGTTTAACAAAACAACTATATCCCCTTCAAAAAAAAAAAAACAACACAAAACTTGTTGATTAATTTAAGTGCTTTAAGCTCACCTGAACGTCAAATGAACGTTTGTGACGTCTTCAGATTTAAATAACTTCTCAGCTTCATTAGTCGCCCTCCGACCCTGCAGCCAAAGTCTGCGTCACTAGAACTCAGTTTAAAGACGACTGAAAGAAATGCTTTATTTTCTGGGTTTCATATTTCACAGCTAATTTCGTGGACGCTTTACTCGTCATTTCCAAAGACAACAGCTCGTGATATTACAAGACGAAAGCAGTTACAGATAGGTAGGGAGACAGTGTCTGCTCATAACACTTAAAGTACGAGTGAAAAACGAGGAGATGTGTTTTTAAGTATAACTGCTGTGTCTAATCATACGAGGTTTTCCAACGTAGCTGGAAGGTACAAATGGTACAAATTCAATTAATACGCAGCCCAACGCTGTCCGTTACCAGGTGGATCGATAATGTGTTGAAATCAGCAAAACACCAGCTGATCTTCATAAAATTATGAGGAAAGTTTCCATGAAGTTAGCTAAGAAAACAAACAAACAAATAAACAACACTCTCTATTCTCTATTCTGTGTCCAGGGCCTTCATTTAGCTCACGGTTAGAGAGAACCAGGCCTTTATTTCTGGTTTCGCTTGTTCCTAAGTTCCTGCAAAACTTCCTCCGTGTTCAAATACTGATAGAAGATTAGAACGTCCATTTTATCAGCACTCGCTCCACCAGACAGTTTTCATGTGAAACAACGCGCATTCGGTCGTTCCATCTGAAATCGCATTTTTTAAAGAACAATTTCTGCTCGACCATCTCTGAGTTGCGAGAAAATTTTAGAACATAAAATACTCATTTTAATAAAGGCATTTGAGAAATGTAGCTTGATACATCAACTACTTTCCAAGAAGAAGAAAAAAAAAAAAAGAATTCCATGTAGACCCACTTGTAGCATGTTTTTTTCACGCATTAAATGTGTGGCACTAATATGTTTAAGTGTTAATGACAAAAGCCTGACTACTTGCAAGTAGATCAAACAGTCTTGGAAAGTATTTAAAATATCTAATATTTCACAAATACCTTTTTTTAATGTCCACAGTTTAAAGCAGATCAGCTGGTTGAGCAGAAAGGCCCCTGATGATTTGAGATGGAAGAACCCAATCAGGAGTGTGGACAGAGCAGTGAATATAACAAAGCTCTGCATAAATGGACATTATGCTGAATGAACCAGCCTTTGTCGCAGGCTACAGGTGATTTAAACTGATCACCGTGGTCCTATAATTCGGCCTGTATTAGTTTGTGCCTTCTGAGTTTACAGTAAATAACAGTTTGGCTGCAGGGTCTGTGTCGTAGGTTTCCTTCACACTAAAAAATTAAATCTTTGCAAGCGCAGCATCAGAACTGAGAAGTTTGAATTTGAAACTTGGTACTAAATTCCCAAACTAGTGTGTTTTCTAAGATTGAATAAGCTCACATCATCACAGCACTTTGGAGGATTCTGACTCTGCAGATTCCCTTCGCTGCGTATTCATCGTGACTTAGAGTCCTGACTGAGCAGCAGCCTTTTATCTGCCATCTCGTCCTCATTTGCCTCTCATGAGGAAGTATACTGGGTCGTTGCCTTTTGGGGTTTCACCTCATTACAACTTCCTTTTCCTCCTGTTTCACCACCTCTCAGGTCTCATCACAGGTTGTTTTTTTTTTCCCTCTTTCAGTTCAGCCCTTCCTTCATTTCCTGGCCCAGTTTCCTCTCTCCTCCTCTCCTATGTGTCATTCTCAGGATTCCCTGCAGACCCGTGCTCAGGAGGCCATATGGCTTCTTTTCTGCTCTGCCTCTTTTCTCTCCACCTCGGCCTGCTCTCTGGCCTCTGTCCTGTCCTTCAGCGCCCTCAGCAGGACCCTGAGCAGTGTGTTCTCATTCAGCAGGTTCTCAGAAGTGTCTGCCAGCTCCTGCAGCCGCCTCACCGCCTCCCCGAGCTGCCGGCTTTTCTCCCGGTGCTGCTCCTCTAAACTCTGCCTCTCTCGCTGCAGCTCCTCGTTCTCCGCTTCCAGGCTGCGAGCGTCGAACGCCAGCCGCCGGTTGTCGCGCCAGAGCTGCGACAGCTGTTGGGAGAGACGTTCGCGGGCGTGATGCAGCGCTTGGACTTCGTGCTGCAGTGTCAGAAACTCTGCACGGAGGACGGCGCTGAGTCCCGGACTCTCGGCCTCGACAGATGGTTTGTCGGCATAATGCACAGAGCCGGAGTGCTGCAGGATGAAGCGGAGGAGGTTGGGCAGCGTGATGGGAAGGTCATCAGGAAACTTCACGCTGAGATGTTTTCTTCAAGGGAAGGAATACAAGAGAGAACATTTTTATATGAGTGAAACAGTTTCTAAGTTTCTTTTTTCAATAATTTTCCTTTGTGAAATAATATTGTACATGTTTTCATTCTATTTTTCATTTTTATTCATTTAACAAGGTAAAAGGTCAGATGTGACCAAGAAGGCAGCGTGAGATGTTGTCACAGTACATCAAATAATACAAAGACAACTATCACACATTATGAAAGATGCAAACAGCTATTAACAGTTTTCTAGTTAAGATACATGAACAGATATGAGCCCAAACCAAATCAGTACTGTCTGCATTTCAGTATTTGAATTACAGTCGTGACTCGATAATCCGACACTAAATATAAAACCTTCTTTTATGTCGGATAGCAAGACTGTTGGACTGTCAAGACGGAGGTTGAGATACAAGGAGGGCTTGATGCTTGAAGGGTCATTCGTTGTTAATATTTATTGTTCATAGTTGTTATAATACCTAGTAGGGCTGGTCCCAGTAGCACTTTCTGCTCTCTGGATATTCAGGCTCAATTAATGATGAATATCTGAATATTTGTATGACGTTCACACAGCAGATCACATACAAGTCGCATTTAATTGGAAATGTGAACGAACTCGCAAAAAATTGGATTTCACAAAAAAAAATTGAGCATTAAGTCCTGCAGTCTGAACGTAGCCAATCTGTGGGATTGTTCAGTCAGAGAATACGCCGTAATCCTTAATTGGGACATAAAATGTCATATCGGAGTCTGAATCCAAGGCTGTCGATATGTTAAGGCTATTTTTCATGGGTTCTGTTCGTTTTTCCTAAAAACCTGTCGGATAGCAAGGTGTTCAGATTGTTAAGGGTCGGATTATCGAGTCACGACTGTACCCTGAAAGTATATCCCGGATTCTATTGAGAAAAGCACCTTTGCGTCTCGACTACATTCAAACACTGATGTCCAGTGATGTGTTCTTGTTTGTATCTCTTCATAATTATTCTCACCTGTACTTGGGAAAGAGAAGAATTGAGGGAACATGATCCACCATGAACTCCCAAGGAAGGTCATTACGTGCAACATTTACCCTAAAAAGAGAAAAATGTGGTTATTATTTGTTATTTTACTTAAAAATGTAGATCAGAGAACTGAGGCTAAAGTCTTAATGCAAGTTTATTTTGTAAATAATGTAAACAACGTATACCTACCTACAACATGAAACACCTTCGTAAGCAGACATAAAAACAAACATAGATACGGCGTACCTGGCCACGGTGATGGTGCTGTTTCCCTGTAATAATCTGGCCAGCTGGATGACGATGTGGTTGAGAACAGAGCAGAAGCCACACCACTGAGTGTAGTAGAACAGCAGCACATCCTAACACACACACACACACACACACACACACACACACACATTTAGGTTAGCATTATAGTTCAGCTTAAGAAATCAATTATGTTTCCCCCTATAAAAGTCAACTGCCTGCTCCATGAGACCTTCACGATGTGCTGATGCTTCATTAAGTCACATCTTCACGGCTCTCTAACAACAGGCAGAAAGCATCAGTCCAAACCCCAACAAAAGCATACTGACAGACCCGCTGTTTGTTATTATGTACCGGAAGTGCAAAACCTCTTCAAACAGTGGAAATGAGCTATAAAAGATAAGCTGATGTGTACACACAGAATACTAGCGAGCAGGACTTGTATTTATAAATGAATGTCCATTGCATTAACCAAACAAGTTAACACAATGTTGATTAAGCCTTTCAGCACCAGGAAAATCTATGTTTTGCTGTATACTAGAGTTTTAAGCTCCTCCACTCCCTCCCTATATTGAAACAAATTCGCCTTAAATGACATACCAGAATTAAAATGGCCATGGCTCCTTGACCACTCTGATTATATACATGAATGACGTCTCATAATAGTGGCCGAAAAGCTGGAGGATGCTATTTTTGCAAAGACGAACAGTTCCTGAATCCTGCGACACTCAACATGTCTATGCGTGGGGGAAACCGACAGAAGGAACCAAGGGCACAAGTATCGTCAGGATGTTTTTAGGCTTAAATCTGCTTTCTGTGCTGACATTTCTCAGCTGGCGCATTAGTCGCAACATCAAACAGCAATAGTTTGTTTGCCTGAGCTAAAGAAGGAAAGCAACAGCAGCAACGGAGACAGAAGACTACAGCTGCAGCTACAGGTGGGATCGTGAGTAAAAACCCCAGAAGTGTCAAAAGTGTTTGTGTAGTTACTCTCACTACCAGAAGGGGGAGACAAAAGTTTGCCACTGAAGCTTTGAAATACGCATAGAAGTAAATTTGCGGGCAAACATTTTCTATGTTTTTATAAAATTAGATTTGGCAAAACAGGGAGGTCAAACTTCATTTTATATATTTTCTATGATGTTTTTCATATAATGAGGGTGTAGTGGCCAAGAAGAGGCTAAAGCAGAGTCACCTTCTGAATGTCCATGACGGACGGCAGGAAGGTGGAAGTGGTCAGTTCTGTGATGAGGAGGCGTGGAGGTGAGTGCTGGTGTTGGTGTGGACGCTTGGCCGCCTCATCGCCTCCCCTCCTGTCCTCTCCAACCAAGTGTCTCTGCAGGACACTGTACGGGGCGCTGAAGTTCCTGATGAAGGCCTCTGAATGAAGCACAAACCATTAAAACACAATTACTGTCGGGGTCACACACGGTAAGACGCTGGGTCTGAGGATGTCTGGCACGGATTTGTCAACGTTCAAGGTACACGGAGAAGTAAACGGTTCTAAAAGGTTAAAACTCCTCTTAACGCTTCTGGTAATAATAACAGCTTTATAGTGGGATCCACGTGTTTCAAAGGATGTACCAAAATGATATTTAGGTGAGACTTAAAATGTAAAGAGCAGATCAGTGGCAAGAGCTTTAACAGTACTGTGTTATTACATGCGATACTACTGAACTGCCAGCAATATAAAGAGAAAATATTTATGACGAACACTGACATGAAAACTGGAATGTCATTACTTTAATCCCCCTCTATGTGCCAGACAACAGACTTTAACTAATTAATGTATAAAATCAGAGCCTCAGTAAAACAGCCCGATGTGTAACTTCCTTTCTAAAACCCTTTTAAATCTCTTTGATAACTTAAAACACCCTGAGCACAGCTACAGCCTGCTGCCTGTTTGATCACACCAGCCAAAAAACAAGTGTGCTAACGTCACAGTGGATCAAGAAGCACAAGCAGATTCTTTTGTGCTAATTAGAAGTAATAAAACGCACCAGCAGGAGCAAAAACATCATCATTAAAGGTTAGAAAAATCCCCACATACACCTCTGAAGGTCACAACACCTTCTGTTCAATGTACTGAAAATGTCTTTGCACTGACGGCTACCTGAAAGCCCGTGCATGTGTACACTATGCAGAAGACAATAAATAATATATCATATCAGCTAATCTGCTGATGTGCACAATCAGTAAATCTAACCAGACACAGATGCTAACTTGACGCCTCAAATTTCAATGCAGTTTTTGCAAATATGTGAACAGGCGCTAATCATGTCAACAGAGGAATATCCAGATTCATCAAGAGAAAGCACAAATAAACTCAAATATGTGTCTCTAAACTAAAGCTGGACCCAACATAATGGAATTCAGCACACACAGTCCCAGCCAGGCCCCAGCGCTCTACATCTAAATTACATTTGAAGGTTTGCAAAACTGATCATCTATTATACAACAGCCATTGTTCAAGCTATACCACAATTATTTTCATTGTTGATTATTGAGTTGATAAATATATTAGTTGTTTGGTTGATAAAATCTCGAAAACGTGGAGAAAAATGCCAGCCAGTGTTTCCCAAAGTCAAAAATGACATCCTTGAATGTCTTGTTCTGTCCACAACCCAAAGGTATTTAGTTTATTGTCATAGAGGAGTAGAGAAAGCAGGATATATTGTGATTTAGGTGGCTGGAATCAGAGGATTTTAACAATTTGGCCAAATCATTAACGATTAATGGTCGACACTTACAGTCGTCCTCAAATGTATTCATATTCTTCCATTAAAGAAAAGGCAAAATTAACAAAAGTCCTTCAAATAACTAGAAACTGAAAAAAGTAATAATAAATAAAAATTTGCTCAATTATAATTTAGTGAAATAAGATATTGCTTTTGAATTGTGGTTGACAAGAATAATTTAAAAAAAACAAAACTCTCCCAGACAAATTAGAGCACTTTGCTGATGAGCAGTGGACCAGAATAGCTGTCAACAGGTGCAGAAGTCTGATTGAGAGTTACAGAAAACACTTGATTGCAGTGATTGGCTCAAAGGGTTGTTCAACTAAATATTAGTTTACAGGTCCCATCATGCTTGTTTACTTGTATGTTGTTTTCTGTTTGTTTGTTTTGTTTTTTAATATTTCTGTTGAATCAAAATTCAAAAGCAACGTCATGACTTTCATTCAATTTTTATTTATTATTACTTTTGTCAATTTATACTTATTTCAGTGACAGCTGTTTTTTTTTTCCTTCTTTAATGGGAGGGTATGATTACATTTGAGGACGACTGTACACGAGGGTACGTCAAAAAGTTCTCAGCCTCACCAGAAAACGTTACAAGAGAAAAACTGTTTTTGCAGTATTTTTTTAACATAGTCTCCTCTAACTTCAGTGCACTTGGTCCACTGATGTCAAACTTCATTGTCCCTGTTACGCTCCTCAACAGCAAGAATGTGGCGACCACACAAGTGAGATTTCAGTTTGGGAAACTGATAGAAGTCAGACGGTGTAGGTCGGGTAAGTAAGGTGCATGTTGTAACAGTTTAAAGCCACAATTAGCTGTTTTCTGCCACCTGAACAGTGTGGACGGACACACTGTCTGGAAGCAACAGCAGCCAGCTCCAAGCTTTCCTCTCCTTTTTTCTTTGATTGCCTCAAACATTTGAGTTTTTAATAGACAGTGATATAAGGCCTTTATACTACACAGTTATTTTGAGATTGTGGCTCGTGAAGCATTTTTGGCTTCTTTCTTGAAAGCAGAGGTCAGTCTGTTATCTGCAATCACCTCCACCTGAAACAAACTAGTTGCCTCCAACAATTTCTCTGCCTTTTTGATACTATCCATCCAACAGGCATGTTTACTTCAAGGAAAGTACCCTCCATGTGATGGCCCCCCGTTATTTGTTTGCCATTAGAAGGTAATTAACGACCCTGACTTAACTTCAGCCATAAGAGTAACAAACACAACTGAGCATGCAATGTGAATGAAATTCTGTCCTCGTCTTACCCAGAGACTCTGTCAGTGTGGCTGCTGGGCTGCGGTGAAGAACATAATGAACCTCATCCTTCAGGT